CCCCACCCTGACCTCCACTCTAACCTCCACCCTCCCTCCACCCTGACCTCCACCCTCCCTCTACCCTGACCTCCACCCTCCTTCCACCCTGACCTCCACTCTGACCTCCACCCTGACCTCCACTCCGACCTCCACTCTGACCTCCACCCCGACCTCCACCCTGACCTCCACTCCGACCTCCACTCTGACCTCCACCCTCCTTGCACCCTGACCTCCACTCTGACCTCCACCCTGACCTCCACTCCGACCTCCACTCTGACCTCCACCCTCCATCCACCCTGACCTCCACCCTGAACTCCACTCTGACCTTCACCCTCCCTCCACCCTGACCTCCACCCTGACCTCCACCCCGACCTCCACCCTCCTTCCACCCTGACCTCCACTCTGACCTCCACCCTGACCTCCACCCTGACCTCCACTCTGACCTCCACCCTGACCTCCACCCTGACCTCCACCCTCCTTCCACCCTGACTTCCACCCTGACCTCCACTCTGACCTCCACCCTCACCTCCACCCTGACCTCCACCCTCCTTCCACCCCGACCTCCACTCTGACCTCCACCCCGACCTCCACCCTGAACCTCCACCCCGACCTCCACCCTGACCTCCACCCTCCTTCCACCCTGACCTCCACTCTGACCTCCACCCTGACCTCCACCCTGACCTCCACCCTCCCTCAACCCTGACCTCCACTCTAACCTCCACCCTCCCTCCACCCTGACCTCCACCCTCCCTCCACTCTGACCTCGACCCCGACCTCCACTCTCCCTCCACCCTGACCTCCACCCTCCTTGCACCCTGACCTCCACTCTGACCTCCACCCTGACCTCCACTCTGACCTCCACCCTGACCTCCACTCCAACCTCCACTCTGACCTCCACCCTCCTTGCACCCTGACCTCCACTCTGACCTCCACCCTGACCTCCACTCCAACCTCCACTCTGACCTCCACCCTGACCTCCACTCCGACCTCCACTCTGACCTCCACCCTCCTTGCACCCTGACCTCCACTCTGACCTCCACCCTGACCTCCACTCTGACCTCCACCCTGACCTCCACTCCGACCTCCACTCTGACCTCCACCCTCCTTGCACCCTGACCTCCACTCTGACCTCCACCCTGACCTCCACCCCGACCTCCACCCTCCTTCCACCCTGACCTCCACTCTGACCTCCACCCTGACCTCCACTCTGACCTCCACCCTGACCTCCACTCTGACCTCCACCCTCACCTCCACCCTCCTTCCACCCTGACCTCCACCCTGACCTCCACCCTCCTTCCACCCCGACCTCCACTCTGACCTCCACCCCGACCTCCACCCCGACCTCCACCCTGACCTCCACCCTCCCTCCACCCTGACCTCCACTCTGACCTCCACCCCGACCTCCACCCTGACCTCCACGCCGACCTCCATCCTCCCTCCACTCTCCCTCCACCCTGACCTCCACCCTGACCTACACCGCGACCTCCACCCCGACCTCCACCCTGACCTCCACCCCGACCTCCACCCCGACCTCCACCCTGACCTCCACCCTCCCTCCACCCTGACCTCCACCCCGACCACCACCCTGACCTCCAGCCCGACCTCCACTCTGACCTCCACCCCGACCTCCACCCTCCCTCCACCCTGACCTCCACCCTCCCTCCACCCTGACCTCCACCCTGACCTCCACCCTGACCTCCACCCTCCCTCCACTCTCCCTCCACCCTGACCTCCACCCCAATCTCCACCCCGACCTCCACCCTGACCTCCACCCCGACCTCCACCCTCCCTCCACCCTGACCTCCACCTTCCCTCCACCCTGACCTCCACTCTGACCTCCACCCTGACCTCCACTCTGACCTCCAACCTAACCCCCACCCTGACCTCCACCCTCCCTCCACTCTGACCTCGACCCCGACCTCCACCCTCCCTCCACCCTGACCTCCACCCTCCTTCCACCCTGACCTCCACCCTCCCTCCACCCTCCCTCCATCCCGACCTCCACCCCGACCTCCACCCTGACCTCCACCCCGACCTCCACCCTCCCTCCACCCTGACCTCCACCCTGACCTCCACCCCGACCTCCACCCTCCCTCCACCCTGACCTCCACCCCGACCTCCACCCTCCCTCCACCCTGACCTCCACCCTGACCTCCACCCCGACCTCCACCCCGACCTCCACCCTCCCTCCACCCTGACCTCCACCCTGACCTCCACCCTCCCTCCATCCCGACCTCCACCCCGACCTCCACCCTGACCTCCACCCCGACCTCCACCCTCCCTCCACCCTGACCTCCACCCTGACCTCCACCCCGACCTCCACCCCGACCTCCACCCCGACCTCCACCCTGACCTCCACGCCGACCTCCATCCTCCCTCCACTCTCCCTCCACCCTGACCTCCACCCTGACCTACACCGCGACCTCCACCCCGACCTCCACCCTGACCTCCACCCTGACCTCCACCCCAATCTCCACCCCGACCTCCACCCTGACCTCCACCCCGACCTCCACCCTCCCTCCACCCTGACCTCCACCTTCCCTCCACCCTGACCTCCACTCTGACCTCCACCCTGACCTCCACTCTGACCTCCAACCTAACCCCCACCCTGACCTCCACTCTAACCTCCACCCTCCCTCCACCCTGACCTCCACCCTCCCTCTACCCTGACCTCCACCCTCCTTCCACCCTGACCTCCACTCTGACCTCCACCCTGACCTCCACTCCGACCTCCACTCTGACCTCCACCCCGACCTCCACCCTGACCTCCACTCCGACCTCCACTCTGACCTCCACCCTCCTTGCACCCTGACCTCCACTCTGACCTCCACCCTGACCTCCACTCCGACCTCCACTCTGACCTCCACCCTCCATCCACCCTGACCTCCACCCTGAACTCCACTCTGACCTTCACCCTCCCTCCACCCTGACCTCCACCCTGACCTCCACCCCGACCTCCACCCTCCTTCCACCCTGACCTCCACTCTGACCTCCACCCTGACCTCCACCCTGACCTCCACTCTGACCTCCACCCTGACCTCCACCCTGACCTCCACCCTCCTTCCACCCTGACTTCCACCCTGACCTCCACTCTGACCTCCACCCTCACCTCCACCCTGACCTCCACCCTCCTTCCACCCCGACCTCCACTCTGACCTCCACCCCGACCTCCACCCTGAACCTCCACCCCGACCTCCACCCTGACCTCCACCCTCCTTCCACCCTGACCTCCACTCTGACCTCCACCCTGACCTCCACCCTGACCTCCACCCTCCCTCAACCCTGACCTCCACTCTAACCTCCACCCTCCCTCCACCCTGACCTCCACCCTCCCTCCACTCTGACCTCGACCCCGACCTCCACTCTCCCTCCACCCTGACCTCCACCCTCCTTGCACCCTGACCTCCACTCTGACCTCCACCCTGACCTCCACTCTGACCTCCACCCTGACCTCCACTCCAACCTCCACTCTGACCTCCACCCTCCTTGCACCCTGACCTCCACTCTGACCTCCACCCTGACCTCCACTCCAACCTCCACTCTGACCTCCACCCTGACCTCCACTCCGACCTCCACTCTGACCTCCACCCTCCTTGCACCCTGACCTCCACTCTGACCTCCACCCTGACCTCCACTCTGACCTCCACCCTGACCTCCACTCCGACCTCCACTCTGACCTCCACCCTCCTTGCACCCTGACCTCCACTCTGACCTCCACCCTGACCTCCACCCCGACCTCCACCCTCCTTCCACCCTGACCTCCACTCTGACCTCCACCCTGACCTCCACTCTGACCTCCACCCTGACCTCCACTCTGACCTCCACCCTCACCTCCACCCTCCTTCCACCCTGACCTCCACCCTGACCTCCACCCTCCTTCCACCCCGACCTCCACTCTGACCTCCACCCCGACCTCCACCCCGACCTCCACCCTGACCTCCACCCTCCCTCCACCCTGACCTCCACTCTGACCTCCACCCTGACCTCCACCCTCCCTCCACCCCGACCTCCACGCCTACCTCCACCCTGACCTCCACCCCGACCTCCACCCTCCCTCCACTCTCCCTCCACCCTGACCTCCACCCTGACCTCCACCCTGACCTCCACTCTGACCTCCACCCCGACCTCCACTCTGACCTCCACCCCGACCTCCACCCTGACCTCTACCCTGACCTCCACCCTCCTTCCACCCTGACCTCCACCCCGACCTCCACCCTGACCTCCACTCTGACCTCCACTCTGACCTCCACCCCGACCTCCACCCTGACCTCTACCCTGACCTCCACCCTCCTTCCACCCTGACCTCCACCCCGACCTCCACCCTCCCTCCACCCTGACCTCCACCCTCCCTCCACTCTCCCTCCACCCTGACCTCCATCCTGACCTCCACCCTGACCTCCACCCTCCTTCCACCCCGACCTCCACCCTGACCTCCACCCTCCCTCCACTCTCCCTCCACCCTGACCTCCACCCTGACCTCCACCCTGACCTCCACCCTCCCTCCACCCCTACCTCCACGCCTACCTCCACCCTGACCTCCACCCTGACCTCCACCCTCCCTCCACCCTGACCTCCACTCTGACCTCCACCCTGACCTCCACCCTGACCTCCACCCTCCTTCCACCCTGACCTCCACCCTGACCTCCACCCTGACCTCCACCTGGCCTCCACCCTGGCCTTCACTAACATCCAATCACAACACATAACTAACATTTCCTTTTGTGCTGAAAGCGTTTGAGATCTACTCTCTCAGCAGTTTACAAGCATCTAATACAATATTATAACCACAGTCACCTGCTCTATGCTGGCTCCCAGAACCCGTGACTCTGACGCTGGCAGTCTGTGCCCTCTGACCGACACCACCCCCCCCCACTCCACCCCTGGTCACCACCACTCCACTCTCTGCTCTCATGAATTTGGCTTTTTTAGATTCTACACAAAAGTGAGGCCGTACAGTATTTGTCTTTCTTGTCTGTCTTATTTCCGTAAGTGATTCTTAGTATAACCTTGTTCCTCACCTGCAGGTCAAGTCAGCCTGCAAGCCCTCATAGGGGAGGAGAAAGTATGTTGTCTCCAGCCCTCCTAGATTCTCGGCCAAGGTCTTACAGGCTCGATTGACAGAAGGCAGGTCAACCCGAGAAAACAAACAGGCTCTTAGCAGGTGCCTCACGCACACACTCGGGAGCGCGGGGTTGTGAGTGACGGGAGCGCGGCTGCACTCGGGCGCCCCCAGCGGCTCCGCGGGGAACAGCACATTGCGGAGAAGCAGCACTGCAGAGGGGGAGACCTGGAGCTTTTGGAGGCACCTGGCGATCCCGGGAAGGCAAACGCGTGGGGAGTGAAGGGCAGAGGAGGGCTGAACGTCCGTGTGGCCCCTCTCGGGGCCGCTGGGCCCCCCAGCACTGCAGCACTCGATCTGGGGCGCCGTCACAAGGGTGTCCGCGTTCTGCTCCAGGCCGTTGGGATGGGGTGCAGAGAGCTCCCCACATGTCTGCCGCTGCTCAGCTGCCTGCACTTCAAACACATCAGCGGCACAACTGGGGCGGCCGGCCCTGCACCCCTCCCCTGGAAGGAAGTGACTCAGGTCTCGGGACGCAGACAGCGCAGGACAGCCAGGGGCTCACTTTCTACCCCTTTAAGTGAGAAACCAGCGCAGGCAGAGGGGGTCATGCAATGGGCATTTAAAATTCTGCATAAAAATACAGCCGCCTTTCAAAAACTCCCTCCATCACACCCTGGCTACCCAGAAGCGCGGTCTGGGTTGTGGCGATGTCTCTGTGGGGAAGTTTGACTTCTCCCAGCAGTGATGACGCAAATGCCGCTGGATTTATGTCTTTCAAGAGAATATCACTTAAAAGTAAGTCTCATTTTTTTTTTTTAAAGAATATGATCAGTGGGGAAAGAAAAGAAGAAACAACCATGGTGAAGTTAGTTGCCCTGAGAACAAAGTTTGCAAGTGTCTATTTAAAGCCTCACATGTAGCTTCAGATGGTTATTTAGTTGCGGAAAAAAAAAAATCCAAAGGCCTTTCTGGTGAAAACGCTTATTTTGTTGCAGCCGCTGTGGGTGAGCCCCTCTTTTGAGTCAGCTCAGCACGAGAAGAGAGCAGTTAGCAATCGATTGCAATGATGCTCGCAGAGCAGCAGGTAGTAATACCCTCCATTTGTACCTCGTGCTTAATGGTTTGCACCTTAAAAAAGGATCTTCTTTCCATACATTAGGGAGATGCCAACAGCAGTGCCCTGTCTGAGGTTCAGCTGCTGGACAGGCTTCCTGCAAAGTCACCGGGAACATTTAAACTCCAGAGCGAGACCAAAACAGTGTGGGTAGAGCTGGGGACACCAGCAGTGAATCACTCAGTTCAGTCGCTCTGTCGCGTCTGACTTTTTGCAACCCCATGGACTGCAGCATGCCAGGCCTCCCAACTCCTTACTCAAACTCATGTCCATCGAGTGGGTGATGCCATCCAGCCATCATATCTCTGTCTTTACAAACTGTTCATGGGGTTCTCAAGGCAAGAATGCAGAAGAGGTTTGCCACTCCCTCCTCCAGTGGACCACGTTTTGTCAGAGCTCTCCACCATGACCTGTCCATCTTGGGTGGCCCTACACGGCATGGCTGATAGTTTCATTGAGTCAAGAAAGTGAAATCTGTTAATGTTTTAAAAAAAATAAAGAAGAGGTCTCTACTGGGTTGGTACTCACTGCCACTTTCTGCCCTATGTTTATTCTAATTCCAGTGTCAACAGGTAGAGGAAACTAGGCACACACTCATGATCACATTCGAAGGAAAAGCAAAGCCCCTCCATTTGCTCTGACGGTCAGGAGGGCTGTCTGCCCAGAGCGGGGCTCCCGGATTTCAGAGCCAGCAAGGGGCGGCAGCAAGAGCGCCCTGGGGGGCTCCCCGTCCACAGCCGAGGGGGACACGCCGCGTGCCGGGCCGAGCCCCACAGCAGCGCCACGTGGCACTCACAGGCAGGGTCCCCTTGAGGAAGGAAGACAGCCAGAGTCCGTAAGCGACCAGAGGCCGCCCGCCGCTGACTGTGGCCGTGACACCATCCCCGGGATTTCAGTCCAGCCAAAGCTCCGACCTGACCGGAGCTCCTCCACGGTGTCCCGTGCCTTAGCACGTGGAGCGAGCGTCCATGCCTACCAGTGCGGGGTCATTTTAGATCAGCCGGAAACGCCTGCTTTCACAGGTTAAAATGCTCAGCCGTGTTATTGGAGCTGAACTTGCACCTTAGAGGGAGAGAACGAGGAATGCTAGTGTGCTAGGATCAATGCGCCCTTTGACCTTAAATTCAGGCCGGTCCACCACGCAGAGCTGCCCTCGGGACTGGTCCTCCTGAGGGAGGCCGCTCACCCCGAGGAGAGACGCCTGCAGCGCGCATGGCCCTGGACGCCCAGGGCACTTCCCAAGGTCAGGGCAGAGAGGGGGGCGGAGGGGGCCGTGCCCAGCCACATGTCAGACTTAGGTCTGGGGGCCGCGGGGCAGTGCACCTTCTTCACTGGGGGGACCGCTGACCGTGCCTCTCTAAGAGTCTGCGAGCAGCGTGGTCAGCGCAGCTCAGCCAACAGCCTCTCAGCACGCACCCAGCACTCAAACGGTGCCGTTGACTCTGCGGTATTGCTTTCCATGGTTTCAGTCACACGTGGTCAGAAGAAGGGTCCAAAAATATGAGATGGAAAGTTCCAGAAATAAGCAATTCGTGTTTCACATTGGATGCTGCTCTAAGAGGATGGAATCTCGGGCTGTCTAGCTGTGTCCTGTCTGGGTCATCAGACTGGCTGTCCAGAGGCAGTGCCCGTGAGCAGGTAACCCCTGTTGCCTGTTCAGTCACTCAGTCCTGTCCGCTCTCTGTGACCCCACGGACTGCAGCGCGCCAGGCTTCCCCGTCCTCCACTATTTCCCAGAGTTCACTCAAACTCACGTCCCTTGACTTGGTGATGTTAACCGTTACTTTACTTAATAATGACCCTCTTCTACAGGTTTGAAAATTCTCACACACACAGACACACAGTGTTGGAGGCAGGGGAAACTAACCAGTAGCTGGCAGAGCAGCAGCAGGATAGGTTTTCTAGCCCTGCCCCACATGATAGCTACTTAGCCACATGACTTTGAGCACATAAACTGTGGCTCTATATATGTAATTTAGACGTCAGAAACTGAGCACACAGAAGAATGGAAACTACCTCATTATTAATTTTTATCTTCTTTTTTGCACATTGAAATGATCATTTTGATACATTGGGTGAAATAAAATATATTATTGAAATTTTTTAAGAAGTGCTGCTGACATGGGATTTTCAGGGCACCAGTAGTATTCTGTATCACATGGAATGGTGGGTACACGATATTGTGCACTTGTCAAAGGGTGCAAGTCCACACAAGGAAGGAACCCTGACGCGAAACTACCGAAGTCAAAAGTGTTAGTTGCCCAGGCGTGTCCGACTCTTTGCGACCCCATGGACTGTGCAGGCAAAAATACTGGAGTGGGTTGCCTTTCCCTTCTCCAGAGCATCTTCCCAACCCAGGATCAAAGCCAGGTCTCCTGCATTGCAGGTATGTGCTGTAGTGAATCTAGCCCATCAGAATCTGTTATCAGTGTCACAACCGGACCGCACCAATGTAAGGTGTTAATAAGAGGTGAAACTGTTCGGGAGGGGCATGGAGCTCTATGTATTAACACTATCTGCTCATTTACCTGTGAATCTAAAACTGTACTTAAAACAGAGGCTTACTTATAAAAATATAAATTAAAACAAATCGTTTTTAAGACTCCAGCCTGGACCCAGGGCGGGGCTGGACCCACGGGGCAGGGGAGCTGCCGGCTGGGCCAGGCGCGCCTCCTGGGCTTGCAGGCGCTTTGGAATTATTGTTCTTTTCTGTTCCCCTGGGGCTCCCGGTGGCCAGACCAGCTGGAAAGTGAAACAGAAACGCCCTGCGGGGCCAGGTTGCAGCTGCCCGAGTGCGGATACCCCACTTGCCTACCAGGTCTGACCCCGAGGGCCAGTCGGGGGCTGTCGGAGCAGAGAGCGTCTCTTCGGAGCAGGTCATCTTTTCCAGACGTGGGAAGCACAAGCTCGGTGCCTTTCAGCATTCCTCTGCTGGCCGCAAACAGCCCCCATTATCTCCTTAGAAGGCGTCCCTGCCATTCCACTCGCTCTTGCCTTGTAGATGGAGCCCGGGATTAAGCTCAGGAAAACGGACAGAGGATGCTGAGGTTGCAGCGAGGAGCCGAGGCTCGGGCGGCTGACGTGCAGCGGGTGAAGCAAGCAGGACCCTGTGGTCCTCCCCCGCCCCCCAGGTCCTCCACTGGCCTGTTGACTGTGGAAAACTTTAGCCAAAGAATAAGCTTAATCAGAGGACTGGGAAAATGCAGAAGCAAAGGAAAGCAGTCAAACAGGAAAAAACAATCAGAGCCTAGTCATTACGCAGAGTCAGGACTTTAGTTCCTTCTCAAGGACGGTTGATGATATCCTGAGGCATACGCTGAGATCTGCCTTACAGAGACTGAAGGGCCCACCAGCTGGAGGAAGTTAACAGCATGGGGACCAGGCCGCAGCTGCCACAATTCTGAGAACCGGCCTCAGGGAATGGAAACAGACCGAGCCTGGAGCCGAAGGTTCACTGAGCTTCAATCAGATGACCCCGGGCAGACCCCTGACGACCAACTGCAGGATGACGTCAGAGTCTGTGCTGTTGCTCCATGTAGCCCCTCTCTCTGCCTGTGTAAGCTCTTCCCCCTGACTGTCAGGCCAGGAAGGGGGAGAGGGGGCGAGGAGCTGGCCTTTGGACATGAGTCTGCCCTCCCCTCTGGAATAAAGCAAACTTTCCTTTCCACCAGTCTTGCTTCTCAAGTGTTTGCTTTCAAGCAGCCAGACCCCACTTTTGGGAACATCAGCTCCGCCTTCCAGGAGCTCTGCCACATCAGAGAGTTGTCAGATTCTGTGCGTCTCGGTGAGAACGAGGTGGCAATGACACAACCAGGCAATGGGTGCCGATGACTTGAGTATTGCCGAGCAGTAATTACATGATCAACTATCCACATCAGGAGCAGCAGCACTGACAAGAAAAGTAACCGGGCCTTTTGTTCTGACGCTGTTTTTCAGTGTTCACAGTTACCAAGGTGGAAGCCACAGCCAACCATGACCTAAATAGCAAGCACCTGGAAGCAGACAGGAAAGCTGTGAAAGTGTCAAAATTAATAACGCAGTTCACACAGGCGCGGGAGGGTGGGCAGGCCAGGGGAAATGACCTCCAGGGTGCACGGCAGACCAGGGCACCCCAGTACCCGTGGTGGCTTCTGCTTGCATTTTCTCTATCTTAAGAAAAAGCATGATGCTTTTTATGTGGCTATAAACAAAGCAAAACAAATGCCTACTACTCTGCAGGCTCTGTAGCAGATTATAACGTTTCCTGGGAGAGAGAGTTAAGAGAGAAGGGAATTCTGACCCCGCGGGGCAGGACAGGTCCACGAATGATGGGCCGCCTCGACCTCTCGTTCCACTGCCCTTCAAAGCCGAGTGGAAGCCTCGGCCGCTGGGGCTCAGGGTCCTATGACCTGACTGCCTCAGGGCAGTGGCCACCAGGGCCAGGGGGATGCTCTGGCCCACGCAGCCTCTCCAGGGAGACGTCCCGGCTTCCTCCTCTTTCCAGGGCCCGACAGTCCTCGTCCTCTGGTCCCAGGCCATCTGGGGCGGGTCCCGGCTCATTTGAACCTGGACTCTCCCGGCCCGTGTGGGTGCTCGTGCCGGTGTGGTCTGATCAGCAGGCAGAACCACGTCACCCCAGGCATCCGCGCCCAGAGAGGGTCACGCGGCCCCGGGACAGCCTGTGGTGGAGAAGGAGACACACGGAATCTCACCCAAAGCCTAGTGACTCCCTGGTCCCCGCCTCGAGTCCCCAGACACAGCCCCCTGCCAGATCAGAGTGGGCGGTCCACAGACCCCTCCGGACCCTCCCAGGGACCCCCGCCTGCCTCTGCCCTGGCCAGCAGCACACACCCCTGCTTGCAGCTTGAGGCAGTAACAGCTTCTCCTTCTGTCCACCCTCGATGTCCAGTATCACCTGGACACTGGGAGCTGGAGGTCCCGGGGAGTGAGACTCCAGACGCCTCCCCCAAGAAGGCACAGAGGAGGCTGCGTGGTCGGGCAGGGGCGGGGCGGTGACCCTACCACCTGGACGGCAGGGAGAGAAACGCATCTTGAGAGCAAGGGTGAGGGGGAAAGCCAGTTGCCACAGAGCTTTCGAGGCTTGACCTTGATCCTGGAGGCAGATCCACCTTGGCCAGGAAGGAAGAGGGAAGCACAGAAAGCTGGTGGGCTCCAAAACCCTCCAGTGAGCAGATCTCCGAAGTCCACTTTCCCTAATAAGTGAATTTTGTTAACACTTTTCAAAACCGGATTAACATGGGAAGGTTGCAACAGAGAAGGCCGCAGGGAGAGGAAACCCAGGCCAAAGACCCGGGAGCGCTTAGAAATGGCCCGTGCCCAAGAACGCCAAGGCCCAACCAGAGCGCAGATGATGGTAAGAGAGGCGCATCGCTTAACGGCCAATAAATATTTCATGGGAGGCTTTATCCTGTTGGAGAGAGATCGATGGATTCTGCAGAGTCAGCAGCATGCATGCCCCTCTGCACCTGCACTTCAGAGGAGGTGGGGGGGGTCTCTGCTGATCCATCCCTGGACTCCGGCCAGCGGCCTCCACAGCAAGCAGCTGGTGCCTAGAAAAGGGTCTGCTGAGGAGGATAATTCAGAGCAGAGCTGGCCAGGCCAGCTCTGTGTCCTAGCAGCCCTGATTTGGCACAAATGTTCCATTTTGGACCTCACGGGCTCCTCCCTTTAGGGATAAACACAACCTGCCAGAAGGCCCACGTCATGCATCTGAAAACAGATTTTCCATAATCTGTGCATCAACGAGGTCAGGACAGCACCCGTGCGCTGAGTTGAGACCGTGATCCCGACCGGGCAGCCTGGGAACCCACCCGTGGGGAAGGCCTCCTGAGTGTCCCCGCGGGCAGGCCCCCGGCAGGCACCTTGGGCTGCCAGAGGTCCCGTGTCGCGAGCCCAGGCGTGTGCTCCGCCCGCAGAGAACATGCGACAGGCAGGTGAGCCGCCGTCCCCGCAGGGTTACGGTTGGCAGGAGGGCGGGTGAGGAGCCTCTCAGACAGACAGCAGAGAGCAGGCAGCGGGCAGCCGTTCTGTGTCTGAACAAGCTGACACCCCTGACACCCCCTTGGGGCTGACTTGGTGACACCCCCAGGCCCCTCTGCGGGAGGGCTTGCTGCCCCAGGCTGGGCAGGGGTCAGGAAATGACCTACGAGCCTCTGAACCCCAGGGCCTGCCTCGCTGCCGGGAGCCCCCTCAACTGGGCCATGTCCTTAGCAGTGGCCACACCCATGACAAATTGAGGAAATAATGGCCCAGCCACTGGCGTCCGCCCAGGGACAACTCTGATGGGCCCCGGGTCCACTGGAGGCCCTCACGGTCAGCATCTTGTGTGGACCCAGTCTCAGAGCCGACTTCCTGGAGTCCCACCCCACCCCTTCTTCTCCTATTTGCCTGTAGCCTGCCCCCCTCCCTATTTCTCTGCCTTGTTGTAAAGTTTGTTTCACTCTAGCTTCCCTCGTAGCTCAGTCAGTAAAGAATCTGTCTGCAATGCAGGAGACCCAGGTACAATTCCTGAGTCAGGAAGATCCCTGGAGAAGGAAATGGCAACCCACTCCAGTATTCTTGCCTGGAGAACCCCAGGGACAGAGGACCTGGCGGGTTATAGTCCAGGGGATCGCACGAGTCGGACACGACTTAGCAACTAAACCAGCACCAGCTACCCCCAAGGGTCTGACCTCCCCCGATCTCGTCCCAGGGAGCCCTGTCTGCCCCGGGCCTGTGCCCCCCCCCACTTCTCCTCTCTCTCCCTGGACCACCATGACCCCCTCATTTACATAAGATGCCCCCACCCCGCCTTGGCCTCCACGCAGGCGCTCTGGGTCCCTGCCGTCCAGCTGACCTGTGCCCCGGGCAGTCTCTGCTCCCTGGTGGGCCACGGCCTCTGGGTCAGCCCTGTTCTGCAGGACACCCTTCTGGGCTTCACACGTCCCGTCTCAGCAAGACGCTCCCCAGAGTCTTCCAGGCCCGACCATCAGATGCTTCCGGAATCATCACGACTCGCTTCCCCAGTCATCAGACGCCGTCACCTGGTGGCTCCCGTGGCCTCCGTCCCTTCCAGTAACAGAGACTCTGCTGTGATACATTCCCTTGCTCCCTCAACGAGGGCACCAGCCCTGTGCCGAGCGCGGAGTCTCCATGGCGGCGGTCTGCACTGGAACAAGCAGGTTGCGGGGATTCTACACTTATAAACAGGATGCAAACCAGAAAACTCATAATCTGTTTAGAAATCAGCTAATTTCTGCTGATGACATTTCAGACACCACCATGCTTCAGAGATGGAGAGACTCGGACGGGACCACCTGCACGCATCAGCTTGGCTGCCTGGGACATAGCCTGACCCGGATGTGTGTTTGTTCTGAAAACAGTCCTGAATACGGTGACCCTGCAGCCTACATGTTTATAGTCTTGAAGTTTCCCTGAAACTGGCACAGGCCCTACTTGGAGCTCTGCCATTCGATCTGGGGTGAGCAGAAGGGACTGTTATTCTTGTTGTTTATTCACTTAGTCACGTCTGACTCTTTGTGACCCCGTGGACTGCAGCCCTCCAGGCTCCTCTGTCCATGGGATTCTCCAGGCGAGGGTACTGGAGTAGGTTCTCATTCCCTCCTCCAAGGGATCTCCCAGACCCAGGGATCGAATGCACGTCTATTGCGTCTCCTGCATCATCAGGCAGGTTCTTTACCAGCTGGGCCACCAGGGAAGCCCCATCTGAGGAATGTCAAGTGCTCATCTAGAACTAATGTGATCTAATTGTGTGGATTGTTTTCATACATCTTAGGAAACATCTTGAGAGAGACACACTATTCTACATCTCTGCACGTGATGAATCATGCAAATGACCTGGCTCAGCTCCTGAATAATTCATCACCATCGTTTATTTACAAAGGAAAACGATACTTGATTGGTTCGGCCGATTTTCAGGCACCGCTTCTGTCGGTAAACGGAACCCCCCGGCATGCGGGCGAAAGGCCCAAGGGAGTGGGAGGTGCCCTGCGCGGGAGATGCATGCAGGCTTTCTCTCCCCAAACTCCTCAGTTCTGGAGAAAACACGTGTTGGTTTGATCTGGTCCGTTTTGAAAAGTCTTCGCGCTGTAATGACACTTGCATATCTGCTTTCAAAAGAAACATCCCCTTCCCGCGGTTCTCTCATCCCACTTCTGAGTGCCCTCCCTTTAGAAAGGCCTCTCATTTTCCTCGCTGGCGCCTCGAGACACCAGAGAAGAGAATGGGCAGTTGGGAGGCGCCGGGACGGACCTGGGAGGACAGTGAGGGGCACCCACAGACCCAGGGAGGTGTGGGGGTGAGCGGTGCCCTCTCGGGCCTGGGGCCTGAGGGTGTCCAGCAGGAAGCCCCTTCCCACGGTCATCGCTGGTTCGCCCTCCTCGTGAGCTCTTCAGGCAGGTGGGGTCTGTCCCCTCTGAGGCTTTGTAGCTCTTCTGCTTCATCAAAGCTGCCCAGCTGCTGGGGACTGGCCCCCAGCCCTCACCCCCCGACAGGCCCCTACAGCGCAGCCCCCAAGGAAGGCCCAGAGCGTCCGAGAGCCAGGCGAGCCCCAGACGGGGACTGGGCAGCCACCGGCCCAGAGGACGCCCCGCCTGTGCGCCCAGGGGACGCGGCCAGCCCCCGCCGTCCGCTGCCTTCCCTCCCCAGTCATGCCCTGCCTTCCCCGGGCAGAGGGGACAGTCTGACGGGCAGGGGCCTGGTTGCCTGTGGAGCCCAGATTGCCGAGGTCTTTCTGGGGCTCGGTCCCCTTTTGCCCTCTTTCATTCCTTCTTCCCCAGAACCCAGGTCTACCCTCATTCTCGTGTCTGCCTCTGACTGCTCTGCCCGCTTCTCCCCTGCCCCTCTCCTCCCAAGATGGGGGAGCTGAGGCCACAAGCTGCACCAGGCCCTCCTCTCGCTGGGTCTCACTCACAGACGGGGGGTGAGCAGGGTGGACAACAGGCTTGTCCTCGGGACCCCCAGCCCCCTGGTCCATCCTGCCCATGGCTCCATCTCCAGGTGATGCCCTCAGGGGTCCTTCGTCCCACAGACCTGTTTCGATCAGCATTCAGCGCCAGCAAATGCTTTATTCATGAAAGGGGGCACGGGCTCGAGCTTTAGAAGGAGCAAAATACGTGCAGGGCATAAACTCAAATGGCACAAAGCCTGGCTGAGGACATCTGTGGTGTCCCTGGACATCGCCCCCACTTTCCAGGGCCCAGTTGCCTCCTCCCCAGCGGCCACAGGGCATCATCATTCTGAGTCCCGCCCTCGAGCGGCAGGGTCTGAGTCCTAGGATGGGGGCCCATCACCTCAGCGCCCAGCAGCACTGGTCACCCCTCTGTCCTTGCCCCTGGGGGTTGGCTGGACACTAGGCCCCAGATTGACCCCTGCTCCCCACCCCCTGCCCCCTTGCCTGGGGCAAGTCACACTTTCACATGAATCCGTATCCCAGCGTATCCTTCCAGGGAACCCAAAGCAAGACAAATATACACAGCAAAATGCCCCCTCTGTCCGCAGTCCCAGCCCTGCAGGCCCCTCCCCAGAAGCCGCCCCTCTGTCGGTCCCAGGGATGACATGCAGGCAGAGCAGGGACCAGGAGCCCTGCCCTCCCCACCTGCAAAATGGGATAATAACAGCTCTGAAGCAATATGATGGCTTTGTCAGGAGGATCAGAGGCGTTCCTATTCACAAAGTGCTGAGTGCGCTGGTCACACTGGGGCCGCTCTCTCCTACTGTGTGTTGTCACTAAATATTCACATGCACATTCGAACCTCTTCTCTCCCCCGGCCTCCCGCTTTGACCCATCTGCAGATGAGAGAGTGGATTTCCCAGGATCCCGGTCCTGCCTCAGCCGTCTGGGAGGCGGGGTCCCGGGAAGATGCTTGTGGTGGCCAGGCTCCGGTCCCGCAAACCCGGCAGAATGGTGGGAGCTGGCGGACTGGGTCCCCACTCCTTTCGGAGCTCAGCCAAGTCTAAGCCCAAGGGAGGGTTCTCATGGACCCCAGGAGACAGAGAGGGGCTGTATCCGAAAGCCTCGCGACCACACCAGCTTGCATGCTCAGGGAGCAGACCCCACATCATCAGAAATGAAGAAGCAGCTGGGGAGACCCCCAGCCATGTCCCTACTGAGTTGTCCAGGCCACGTCACTCACTGCGGGCCCAGCAAGGCTGAGGCTTGGAAACGCCCATGCAGGTGACACCCCAGGACTGCAGCTGATTCCTCTGCCGTTGCAGGCACTCTGGACTGAAACATCTGCCTGGACTCGTGTCAGAGCTGATCACACTGAGAGCAGGAGCGTGAGGGGGAGGGGTGCAGGCAGAGAGTATGCTTGCCTCCTGATGACATAATCAGGGGAAACAGCCAGACAGCTGATCAGTCCAGCAATTAACCCACTGTGCATCTTCCAGACAAGACTGGATGCCACGTGAGGTTGAATAAAATATATCGATCATTTTGGAGTTAGTTCGTAGGACTGAGAATTCAGCCTGGGGCTTCAACCTCATTAAACCCACCTCATCGCCAATGTTTCCCTTCAGGCTGACCTGAGAAACATTTCTGTCTGCATTTGGCTCCCACCTGTTGGAATTTTACATCCTTCTAGATTCATGGAATATTAATAACGTGGACAAAGCTGTCAATTTCACCTCTTATCCCTTTAGCTGCCTTTTACCAAGGTGACAGTGGACTGTGACTCGCTGGACCGCATTTTTATTTCTAGCCCTTTAATGACACCAAGAAAATACTCACACTTCACAAGCCAGAAAAAGTCTTTCCTAGGAGTCACCATTTTCTAATAGCTCTTAAAAAGTAAATCTGTGAAGCATCAACAAAGCATAATTTTACTTTCAACATGTTGACCTGAATTCTTTCTCTGATCAGGAAAATCCTAGGTCAGATGTAGGGATTTCTGGAGGCTCGCTAACTCTATTTCCTGAGCAACCTCATACACATGGGCTGTAGTTCTAGAATAATATACCTCTTCTTACCATGAAATTAGTGACAGGATTAAATTGCATGAAGAGAAGAGCAATCCATTAGCTTTGCTGGTCCCAAGAATTGCCTCTATTTTTCTCTCTCTGTGACCTTAATAGGCCTTTAATCAACACTTCTTTGAACAGTGTAAGATAGAATTTCCAGAAGATCCTAATGTGAGCAGTAATTAACATCTTAATTTAGACTTACTCAACCCAACACTTGTTTGGTGAAAATAACAGATGTGAACATTGCCAGTTAATGCAAGAGTGTGGAAAGCTAATCATGTGCTTTCCAACTCCATTCAAGGTCCACGTGGGAAGCCAAGGCTTGCTCAGCGTGGAGGGCTGTCTTTAGGGGCCTGCCGAGCTGCTTTGGAAGATGACTCACAGGTGTCCCTGCCAGCCTAGCCAGGTGTCAGGTAAGGCAAATCCTGAGCATGGGGTGGACACAGCTCTCTGCATCTGTGGTCTTCACCTGGACTGTCAGATATGGTGCCCTTTTCCACCTGCAGAGAAAGCCTTCCTTCAAACGACCCTGCACAGAAAAGGACCTCCAGGGCTTGAGACAAAAGCTGTGTATCTGCATTCACATGGCAAATATACAAGAAGTATGCCAATGAATATGCAAAGAAATGAAAGGATGCAGCTGTGAGCCGTGTGCTACACTGGGATTCACCTCCGAAGAGGATTTCAATCCGGGGCCAGAGATGAGGCTTGACCACTCAGAGCTTTGTGTGGAATTTTATTAAAGTATAAAAGAGATAGGGAAAGTTTCTGACATAGACATCAGAAGGGAACAGAAAGAGTGCCCCCTTGCTAGCTTTTACAGGGCGTTTTGTCTCTGTTAGCAAGTTTCTAATCAGATGAGAAAAACACCTCACAGCTGAGGGAGTTTCGCCAAGCCCCTCTCCCACAATATGCATTTTTGGAGATAGGATGGCACAAGGCATGTCATCCCCCAACTATAAAACAAGGGACACGAACACTGGTTTGCTGAGCTATTATCGGCCTGTTAGGGGCTGACGGAAACCACCCACCCTGGCCAGGCACCATAGTAACCATTTGCATGAGTTGTTTTATGATAGGAGGTCTTGGTAAGGAACACGGAAATAATAAGCCACCATCAACTGGGAGAGTTCAGGAAAGGTCAAAAGGAGACATCGAATGTCCAACCTCCTCCCAGAATCCTTTTCACTGGCATCCATCTTGGCTGAACAAGGCATGCACCACCAGGAAGGACTCTGAGTCAGAATGATTGGCTGAAGACAACCTGGAAACTAATCCCATCAGCATAAAACCCAAGACTGCGAGCCACGTGGCAGAGCAGTCCTCCTGGGTTCCCTCACCCTCCTGCTCTCCGCCCAGGCGCCCCTTCCCAATAAAGTCTCTTGCTTTAGCACGTGTGTCTCCTGAGACAATTCATTTCCGAGTGTTAGACAAGAGCCCAGTTTCAGGCCCTGGAAGGGGGCCGAAGAGGTTTGAGAACGGTTAAGTTCATGAGAAACCAGGTGTCCTCAAACACCTGCCAAAAAAACATCTGCCACTCGCAGTTTATTTCCTCCTGCTGCTTGGGGACCTCTGGCCTTCCTACTTGTTAACCCTCTCAGAAGTATGCTCAAAATTCTCCAAGCTAGGCTTCAACAGTACATGAACCAAGAACTTCCAAATGTTCAAGCTGGATTTAGAAAAGGCAGAAGAACCAGAGATCAAACTGCCAACATCTGTAGGATCATAGAAAAAGCAAGAGAACTCCAGAAGAGCATCTACTTCTGTTTCGTTGACTAAGCTACAGCCTTTGTGTGGGTCACAACAAACCGTGGAAAATTCTGAGAGAGATGGGAATACCAGACCACCTGAGAAGTGTTGTGTTTGCAAATATCCCCAACATGATTTGTTTCATTCTATCAACCCAACATCACTGGCCACAGAGCTGGGCACAGGCATGTGGAACCAGCTCCCATGAGCTGGTCAGAGGCTGCTCCAGCACAGCCCGAAAGTACCTGCTCTATGGATGTGATGGGAGATGATGAAGCAATGTAGGAGGAGGATGTGATGGAAGAAGGTCATGCGACGGGAGAGGATGACGCTACAGAGATCCCTGGAGCCACGTTTCTGCCCTTGAGGAGTGCCTAACGCAGGAGGACAGTGCAAGCGTGAAAAGCTTCCTCCTACAGGATGGCGTTAGCGAGAGGAATTCCCTGAGAATGCTATGTAAGGAGTATCTAGGGATCTGTGGGTGACCATGCCTCTGACATCACTGCTTGACACAAATAAATGAAATACAAAATTGGAGATGAAAAAAAAACACAGAACAGACAAGGCTAGTCTGTATGCCAGTAGATTATGCCTGAGATTTTTGCAAATCTTTTTAAAAATTTCATCTAATAGGTTTATAATTAGTGTGAAAAACAAATATTCCAATACAACTGAGGTATGTCTATGAAAGAAAAGAAAAGAAAAGCTGGCTCACTCTAACCAAAATCAACATAGAAATCTGCATCCAGTCTTGGTAGACACGGCCTTTGATGCCAACCATTCCACTGAGAAGAATTGTAAAAGCTGGATGTCGAAGGGGGCCAGAGGGACCTTCTGGGGCATGTCACAGAGGCGGTCCCAGATAAAGACTGACCCTCAGGACAGGCTTGGGCTGTTATATTTTCCCTGAGAAGATCCAAACAGAACTTCCTACTAAGACAGGCAAGACAGGCAGCCGAGCTCTGTTCTTGACACCCTGAGGGTCACCTTCTCTGGCCACTCGCATGTAGAATGAAAGCCCATCTGGAGGGTAGGATAGATATTTTTCTGATGAAGAATGGGCTTCATGAAGCAACCAAGACAGGGAAATAGAAAAGGAAGAAGGCCTTTAAAAGTCTGAAAACACCACTTGACATTAATGAAAACTGGTGTAAAGGCTCCAGGTGATGGAAATATTCATCTCGCTTCTTCTGGGACACAACAGCTTCCCGATCCCTACATCTATAAAGCCTTAAATGACTGTGCCCTCTTGGAGCTCTAGATATTGCTTCTGTCCGACACAAGGGAAACCCGTCCAACAGCATCTCTTATCTGTCAAGCAGACGAGACCGGGGCTGTTCCTGGCCGCTCTGATAACAGGCGTTGGATGGAAGGGGTGGCTTCCTGCACCACAGAACTGTGTGTGCAGACTGCCAGACTTTAATGAGGAAAAGTAAGCCTGGCTCCTCCCAGCCTCGTCTGTGCTAAATCACTGACTCTCATGACCTCCCTGGAAAAGCCATTTGTTCTGTAATTATGTAAGCCCTATATACATGTCACAGGAAGGCAGCGGGCTTACTGTCTTAAATTAAATTTTATTAGCGCTAGGAACTTCCACAAACAGTCTCCACCACCAAGTCTCCACTCCGAGTAGGGGTTTCACAGTAAAGAAGCCCTCTTCTGAAGAAGTTTGGTTTTGCCTGGAAGAGCCTATTTCACTGAAATGGAGATGGGCAGCTCCGATCCAGCTCAAGGTTAGGAGGTGGACACGCCTATTGAGCCCTGCACAGCCGTGGGCCGGAGCCCCTCCGCGACCCAGCAAGGCGGTCTGGGAAGTCATTCTGGTTTCCAGGTTATCCTGGGAGACAGGCAGCAGGACAGCCCAGGGCAGCCCTGAGCTCAGAAGGGGCTTGGGGTGTCAGGTGCTGACGTTTGTTACAACGCAAGTCTTGTTAGTTTTTCTTGTTTAGTCCCTCAGTCACGTCCGACTTTTTCAACTCTGTGTACTGCAGCGCACCAGGCTTCACTGCCCTTCACCATCTCCTGGAATGTGCTCAAACTCATGCCCATTGAACAGATGATGCCGTCCAACCATCTCATCCTCTGTCATCCCCTTCTGCTCCTGCCTGCAATCTGTCCCAGAATCAGGGTTTTTTCAATGAGTCGGCTCTTCATATCAGGTGGCCAAAGTATCAGAGCTTCAGCATCAGTCCTTCCAATGAATAGTCAGGGTTGATTTCCTCTAGGATTGACTGGTTGAATCTCCTCGCAGTCCAAGGGACCCTCAAGAGTCTTCTCCAACACCACAGTTC